TGTACAACAAAACAGCAACAACATCAATCCACTGACGAAGAACAAATTAAAATATACCAGAGGCTTCAGATTTTTAAGAGATGCTAGTCCTCCCTGAGCCACCGGCTTAATAACGAGTCCTAATTCAAATTCACAGCATTACTGTGGTCTTTAGTCTCTCAGGCATATAACACCTAGGGCAGTTTCCTCCTGAAAGGCATGCGAGACTCTGCTCCTGGCTTTGGTGCCTTTCTTGCGGGTCCATCCTTTCTTCTGGCTGGGATACCTCCTTCCCAGCCTGGACTTGGATTTGAATTTCACATCCGGGTGTTTCCTAGCGCAGAACCAATGCTGAGCCAGACAAGAATGATGGGTACAGGTTGCCTAAGGATGCATTAAGCCTTCATGATTAAGGGGACATGAAGAGGGCGGGGCATCTGATTTGCTGGGGCAAAGTGCATGGGAAGAAGTCACCGAAAGCTGAGGTGGAAGCAGTAAAATGAGAAATGAAGTCATTAGAGAAGACTCAGGAATGGGAGGAGAGGAGATGGAGGGGTAGCTGGCTGGTGACCTCCGGCAGGTATGCTGGGGGCCTGGCCACAAGCACCTAGCTTTGGTCTTCCCTCGATTCCTGGGTAACCCATGGGCCTGCTCCTCTTGGGCTTCTATCCAGAATGGGGAACTGAGCCAGGGGACTGAGGTGTGCAGAATGGGGACAAGAGGGGCTTGTGGAAGTGCAGAGTGCTGGCCCAGGGCTGCAGGGAGTTGAGGAAGTTCAGGTAAGTCCACCTCTCCAGGCTGAGAGACAAGTCCTTAAGGTAGTCCAATTCTTCCCCTCCATCTTCACCTTATATGGCTCCTCCATTAGAAGTTTGACTTGTTAGATCAAAACAATTTGCTGACAATCAGCTTGTGCATCAGATACCAGGACTAATCACCCCCTGCAGCCTGGTTACCTCTGAGGGAAGTGCTAATCTGGCATCTATGGGCCTGCTGAGCAAGTGGGGCAGCCCTAGATGCCTTGTGACTGTGGGCAGGTGTCCATGAGGCTTTGGATTCTGAGCAGACTGATGGAGCCCTATCTGCGAAAGCTCTTGAAGGGGCTCCGGTACCTGTCATTCAAGTGGTTGAGATGGCCTGCCATCTCACGCTTGGTGCCTTTTTCAGGCAAAGCTGTGAGTAGCTAAGATGAGGCTGGCCGGTCTGGCCACTCACAAGTACCTTTTTCTACCAAAGCATGGTGTTTGTGGACAGCCAGACACAGAGCTGCATCTTTGCTCTTCGACCTTTAGTAGCTATGTGCTTCCAGGCTTAGCATAGACACTTCTCGGTGTCTCAACTTCCTCTTTTGTACTTGACTGTTTGTTCATTGGGAACCTCCTCTGGGCTGGATACTGGCCTCTGCCCAAGGACTGGGGAGGGGAGTTGGCTCAAATTGCCCGGGACAGGATCCTAGCGATTCAGCATCTGACAGACATGCTGCATGTTTGTTACTCATCCTTCAAACCAGCTTTTACAATAATATCCTTTCCCCGGTGGGTGTTGGGAAGCCTAATTACCACTTGTGAGATGTTTTCAAGATCTCAGCAGAAAGGTGATGATACATCATGGAAAGCATGACTACCCCAGGCTGGCCACATAAAATTGTTGAAACTCTGCTATTGTAATAAAGTGTGACTATTAGCCAAAATGGCACTATAATTGCTCAAGGTATTATTGTGCTGATGAGCAATCTCTTCAATGAACTGGAAGTGAAGAAGGTAGAATGGATCATCTGTTGCAGGCCTGACCTGTTGGGTGTCCAACTCACTGTACAACAGAAGGAAGCCTTGCCCAGTCCTACACCATCTGCACAACCCTTGCTCTCTTTGAGTCCCTTGTTGGAGCCACTGTGCCAATCCATCCTAAAATGAGTCTGCCACATTTCCACTATCCTGTTTACTTTTCCAAACATGATCTCCTTCTCCAGCAACTGGTCCTCCTGGTAACTGAGAGGGGGCCTTGCTATCCTTGCTTCTAAAGCATACTTCTTCCAAGACATAGTGTCCATTCTTCTGGCAGTCTATGGTATAGTCAATGTTCTTTGCCAATACTATAATTCAAATGCATCAAATCTTCTCTGGTTTTCCTTACTCATGATCCAGTTTTCACATGCATACAAGGAAGCAGTTCTCAACCTGTGGGTCGAGACCCCTTTGGGGATTGAACAACCCCTTCATGGGGGTCGTCCAATTCATAACACTAGCAAAATTACAGTTATGAAGTAGCAACGAAAATAATTGTGTGGTTGGGGCATCACCTCAACGGTCACAGTATTAGGAAGGTTGGAAACCACTGATCTATTCGAACGACTGCCTCTTGGTCCATGTACAGGTTCCACATGTGCACAATTAAGTATTCTGAAATTCCCACACTTCACAATTTAGCCATAGTTTATGACCCACACAGTTGAGAGTTTGCATAGTCAATAGAAACACAAGTAAAGATGTTTGTGGCCTTCAGCCAATATCCATCAGAATTTTGTCAAGATATTCCTCATTTGTTCTGTTCCCATATGAATCTGGCTTGAATTTCTGGTAGTCTATGTATGTACTGTTCCAAGGGACCTTGGTGGCATAGTGGGTTATGTGTTGGGCTGCTAACTGCAATGTTAGCAGTTCAAAACTGTGGGGGGAGGTCAGATACTTGCTGCCAGACTGCTGTCTCATCCCACCACAGGGGTGGGCCTGCTCCCTGCTGCTGGAGACAATGGACTACTTCTCTCTGAAGCTTGGGACCATTAGCTTGGTTCCTG